GTTTCAGAGTCGTTCTTCTTGTCATTATGTTTATAACTGTTTAAATAAGAGCTAGCTATCACTATCAATCACACATTTTCCGTTTTGTTGTCTAAGAGAATGATTTCTGCAGCTTGATTTAACGAAACGTAAAGATGTTAAAATTGCTTAACATATCATTGTTTGTTTCTACATGCAATATCGTTGTGAATACAAACTTGTTCTGTTTTTATTTTTCATTTACCTATTCATTTTTAATAACAATTACGGAGTTAATTTGGAAATATGAAATAAGTTAAACACTAGTTGATATACAATACCATCTGTAACATATAAGATACTTAATTATATGAACGCTTAGTGTTTGTTATATTAAACAGACCAGCAAATGTTTTCACAAAAGCCCTTGCGATTTATCTTACGTGTTTTATTTACGATAACCGTAACTCAAATTTTAAGTTATTTCACAAAGCTACTCGTAAGTTAAAATTATATCTTAAGGTAATTCATTCACTTACGATAAATCTTACGAAAAGAAACGTCCGTAGTCCGTTGATGCGCATGCACTATATTTGTTTCCCGTGCTGAAGAGCTTAATATATGTATGCTCTCCTTAACTATGTAAGAAGGTTGACGACTGTATACACACGTCGCAAGATAACCAAGCCAAATTACAAAAGTATCATTAACTATTAATTAATTAATAGAATATACTACATTTCTCACGTACCACTATACCAAATGTAAAATGTTACCAGCAAAGTTTTAATTTTTTTATAAATATTCACATATTTAGTAAACTGTCCTCTAAAAATACATTTTAGAAAACACCTATATTCATTTACGCTAAATGATATGATTTATTTTAAAGCAACAGATAAAACAGTTGTCAAATTGATATTCCAAAATGTAACAACAATTTTTGCAATGGTATGTAGGAAAAATTTGTAAGTAAGCAATGCTATTTTTCTTGTTACTGCTTAATTCGTAAAAAGATATAGACCTATCGAGAAATAATGTTCAACAAAGATACAAGGAAGGAAATCACTTTCAAATGTCAGATAATGTGTTTATTTTCTTTTAAAAGATTTAAAGATTTCAACGTATAAACACAAAATATAAATTTACTAAGTCACAAGAATCTTTTATTCTGACGTATTTATTTTACAAAGAAAATTTTGATGTTAATATTAAAAATTGTTAAATGTAAATTGTAAACAGTGAAGACCAATGTTTTTCAATTCAGACTTAAAAAGCTTCCAATAAGAAAGTAGCGCTTATGAGTCAACGGAAAACGTATTTTGTAACAATAATATTAATGATAAAATATTTATTAGTTTTACAAATATAATACTTGTTAATTAAATGATAACCTTTAATTGCCGTTTCATTTTACACTATGCTTCTATATAATAGCGCCAGAAAAATATTAACAAGTCACGAATGGCACAGTTCTAAACATTTAATTACTAAAAGTAACGCTTTTTAAAAAATCTTTTAAACACTCATAGCATTAGGCAAATAACCAGCCAACACTGTTGTATTCAATTAAATTGAAGGTCAATAAATACTAAAAACTATATGTGTTATAAAAATTCAAAACATATTATTACCTGATACCTTATATAAATGTCATTTGGTATTCTTTACTGTTTTCTGAAACTCTAAAAACGTCCACGTTCGCAAACTGTTGACCGGTCAATAGTTTCGACTGTTTCCCTCGCGTGCTCTGACGTTATAGAGGATGCTCCCTTGAAGCGTCGATCTTGAAAACCAGACGTGACGTGACGTTTAAGTTTAAATATTGTTAAATTGAGAAAGTTAAATTATCATCATATCTGCAAAACTATTTTCTTGTTTCTTTTTTCTTCTGCAAGTACTGTTGAAATAATGATCAGGTAATAAACCAGTTATTTCGTATGTGATTTGGGAACAGTTAAACTGATGTCCCTCGGTGTCGGGGATAGTGTTTTGAACTGTTGCCCTCGGCCTTCGGCAACAGTTCAAAACACTATCCTCATCCACCTCGGGCCAACAGTTTGACTTTTCCCATATCACATCTGAAATAACTGTACATGTATACTGTTTACCTGAAAAGCATTACCAAACCAGAAAAAATACTTCGGGAGTTGTGTAAAAATCAAATTAAAATTTGCTAATTACTGGTCAATGTCGGGCAAACCCTCTGAAAGCTTATTGTTAGGTATATTCATAAATCGGCAATGTATTGGGATGGTGAAAAGCACACTTGATAAACAGATAATTATTTTTGAAGCAACTTATATTTAGCATGAGATAAATGTCCCGTAGATTTTCTGGATAAATCTGATACGACAATTGTACAAAACAAATGCTCCTTTTGTAAATTACATGCTTTATTGTCATTAATTATGAACAAACGATCAACTAATTAAGGACGACGCAATATCTTGAATTAATCTTTCCTTTCAAGTTATGATGCTTGCTTTTCAGAATTATTAGATATAAACCAGACATACAAACTTGTTGAGTTCCTGTTCTTTGTAGGTTGTTGTGAGAGAATATCACGCAGACAAAAATATGTTTAATGTCATCATTTGATAGAAAGTACATCGTCCTTTGAAATAATTGAAATTTCATTTCTTGGGGGATTTTTTTTATTAAACTCTAAGGACATAATTTGACTAAGTTATCTAAAAATGTGTTTTTGATTGTGACATTTCATATTCTTCTTTAACGTAATTCCATAAAGAATTGACAAAATCTAATAGTCTTATCTGATAACAATATTATTCCATTGCAGAATGGCGGAATAAAGCAACATTTTCTCCCATGGGAGATTTACAAGGTGCAATAATTTCCCATATTGTACGAGCTTTTCCTATTGATTCTACGAAGATGTCTAGATATGACGTCATTGGATGTCTCTAAATGCGAAGATATTCGCTACCTTTGCCCCTGCTGCCATCTTTTTTATCCTCAGCATCATTATCAACAACAATTATTATTTTTGTATTATAGGAGCTGCGGTCCAAAAATCATTCAGAATGGCATTAATGGTAGTTAAAATGTAGTGTCATTATTAATTAAACAAAAGCTATCAAAGGAGACAACATGCTCGACAAATTAAATATTGGACACAGTAAAGGAAGACAAAACTGTTAAAAATAATCAATTTGATATAAATATATTTCTGTATCTGTATCAAGAAAGCACTCAAATGTTTAATATTTTTCACAGTGACCATGACAATAAAAGTTAAACAGACGTTTCTATGCTCAAATGGAAAAGACAACAATTTGAAATCTGAAGTCAACCCTTTCAGTAACAAAAATGATGAGGGCAAGAAGTATATAAAGTTTTTTTAAAAACAAAAATTCAACGAGGAAATAACTCTTGATTAAAGATGCTAGAGATATGAACCATGTCATACATGATATGAGTAATGACAAAGAATAATTATCTTAAGTCTAAAGTGGTTACTTTAATAATAACAAAGATAAGTTGCAAATAAATTCAAAGTTCAAACATTAAATAGATACAATCTTGGAGAGGTGTTAATAGCATACATATATTTAAAGTCTTTAAGAATTAAATAAGATAATGATGAAAATATTTACGCTAAAATTATGAACTTGATCTTATTATGATACTTTTTGTATGAAACTTAAATTTTAAGTTTGAAGTAAAACCTTTAAGAAATAAAGATGTTATAATAAAAATAACATGTTAAAGGAAAAATCAAAATCCTAAGTGCATGGGAAGAAATGATGCTAGATTAAAATCTTGTTACAACATTGATGTGATTGATGACAATGAACATATAGTTGACGTCTGAAGTCTATCCCCTTTGAAATAAAGAAAGTAAGAGTAAAATATATAATTATGAAGGAAAATTCTAAGTTCAAGGGGAGACAAGTCTAGTAATATTGCTTCTAGATTTATGGACTTTGATGATAAGGAATATATATTTGAAGTTTTAAGTTGATACCTTAATAGGACAGTTCTCCATATACTTTGTTTAAATGATATATATTATTATAAACATGCTTAATTGTAAATGTATGTCATTCTCCTACAAGTTTGACTATGAACAGATATATCAAAACGTTTAAATAAAGACATTTTTGACAATGAAAGCTTGTTATGACTTGTAGTATCAAGTAAAATACTCAATATAGGTAAGCTTGTATGTACCTGCTGAGTCAAATGATTTATTACAGTACTTCTTTACGAAGGGTTCTTGACGAAAAAATTTTGCACTAACCGATTTGTTTGCTTGTAAAGTCAGAATTTCAAGGGGTTTCATTTAACATAACTATGGAGTATTGAATGTGATAATTACGCAAATACTTGTATCACAAGACAACCCTTCATATGCCCATTTTTCAGTTTGTCACAAGTGTTCACTTTACCTTATTACATTGTACTGCAATATTTCAATTTCCAAAATTAGTTTGATTTATTATGTGATGCATAAAGTGTTCATATACATGTTAAATTTTGTATAGATACATTTATGTTGTTTCGAAGGGATGAAAAAAAAAGATTATGTAAGCTTATCAATGCTTAACTTCGCTCAAATCGAATTCATATAAAATTTAAGTACATGTACAAACATTTTATATCACAATATCATTTTTTACACATCGAAAATGCATATTCTAGACCGGCAGCTAATTTCTTACGCGTTGTTAATAGCTGTAAAAACGAAATATATTCATCTATTATTTCGAACAAACTTTTACCATTTTTCATTCCGAATAACATTATTTATTTGATTAAGAAAACAAACTATTTCACAGTAAAATTGTGCAGCAACAAAGATATTTATTTTTATTTGTAAAATCAAAACAAAGTAGTATTTAGTAGTATTTCCTCTTTATCTATCCTGATTGCTTTGATTTAGAAATACTGCTTTATAGATAAATCATGAATTTGTTAAAGCGGTAGTATCAACGTCTTCGAATGTTTCTTCTAGTCCAAGCAGTATAAGGATCAATTTAGTGTACACTGATCTGCAAGTACAGTACATATGACCAGGAAATATGTCATGGTCTTTATCTTAAAAGGTAAATACATCCTGCCATGGGAATATAAATGACGGCAGTTTTTCATCTTCTATGCATTTTTGGAATTTTCTAAATAACTTACAAACACAATCATGTAACGTCTGTGATTGTGCAGCTTCCGGTTTCGTTTTATTTGTTACTGTCCGCAGTTCAATTTCATCCTCTATAATGTTGAACAAACAGTTCTTTAACATATAACTTGATATGCATGTTCTTAGAACACATTCTTTTCTTTCTGTTGATAAATTTACTCTCGGACATACTTTATCATCAATTAAGATCTTAGAAATCATGTAAACATCTCTATAAATTTGGGGAAGATATTTCATATGGATTTTCTCAGCAGATGAAGCTGACACGCGTAGCTTAGTAACTTGCTCGAAATCCTCATCAAAGGTAGTTTGAAGTAATAAAATTGCACCTTCTTTTCTGGCTTCTTCCGATTTAAAAGCAAGGACATCGAGTTTCGCGTGTGAAGGCCACCAACCAATTATCCGACAGGCAGGCACAAGATCAATGTTAATCTCAATATCTTTATACTCACAACTAGTCCAACGAAGTGTAAGCTGACAATTGGGTGCCATTTGCGAATGCTTGAAACGACTTAACTCCATTATGATGTTGCTATGGCAACAAACGGCCGGATTCTGAATAACATCTGCAAGAACTGAAACAAATCGCTGACGTAGGCCTTCAGCGTCTAAATAGCCATGGTCATTAAAAAGATGACGGTATTGATCCATTGCACAGAAGTCTTGCTTTAATTTTAAGTAAACATACCCAGGATCTTCACTGGTTGCTTCTTCATCAACCTCGCAAATTTTCGAGAAAATGTCGATAAGGCAAACATAATCAAACTCATCAGGTAATCCCACTTTGGTATTTTCACCAACACTACCTGACTGAATGACGGTGTTTTCCAGCACGGTGTCATGATAACCGATTTCCTGACATACATTTTGTATCACAGAAGACACAGCGTCTTTCACTAATTTTGACTCTTTCCCAAACTCTACTGATCCAGTGCCTGGTTTCCTTAGTAAATCATACAAGTCATTGTCATTAAAAAATCTCGTACGTGCCTGTAAACTGACAGATTGCTTTTCGTCGGCATTTCTTAGGATCAGCTCGTTCCAATGAATGATTTCTTTTGAAAATGAAACGCCTTCTAAAGCATGTAAATGTGCATCGCTACCATTTTCACATATACATATGTTTTTAATCAATGATAGATGGCCCATTTTCTGTGCAACTTGGCAAGGAAAGTATCCCATGCTATCAGGGACACTCCTTACCCCATTTTCTTTCAGCAGATTTATTATATCTTCATCAACACCATTCCATGCAGCAAAATGAAGAACACTATTTCCATAATTATCTACCTCGTTGATATTTGCTCCATTTTTAATAAGCGTTTCGATCAAATCAAATTTTACTTGATTTCTTAAAATCATTGACATCAATGGAGTTTTACCGACTTTGTTTCTTATACTTAAATCGGCATTAGCTTTTAATAATACTTGAACAACATCAATGCTGTCAGTAAAGAAAATAGGAGACTCTCCAAAAGCATTCTTGACGTTTGCATTTCCACCATGTTCAAGAGCATAATCAATTGCCTCTGCATTGTCCGGGAAGCTCCGAACAAGAGCATGCAATATGTTTTCTCCAAACACATTATCCGAATTCATCTGTGCACCAGAGTTTACAAACACGTTTAAAATATCAACACTTACTTCTTCAGATTCATTTACGTATAAATGAAGTGGGGTGTAACCATTTTTATTTTTGTGGCATAATAACGTTTTGATATCTGCAGTCGTGCAGTATTTAAAGTTTCCCTGTAAAAGCTGAGTAAGGAATGAGTTGTGATAATCTTCGCTCATCATATTCGCAACAAATGTTTGTAAAATTGAATTCCCTTTCTTGTCAGTCAGAAATATATTCAATCCATCTACATTGTTTAATATAAACTGAAGATCTTCAATACCCATAATTCTTGCTGCAGCTATATGCAACGGTGTATGACCGAGCACGTTTTGAGCATTAAAGTCAATATGTAATGTAGGAAATTCCTCTAATATTGTATTCCATAGAGAAATATCAGCCGTGTCAGTCATCAACAACAAGTGCATGATGGTATTTCCCACTCCACCATTGAAATTAATATATTGCTCAAGTCTGAATAAATTGAGAAATGTTTCATGAGATTCAGGATCGATCAACTGCAGCGGACTGAATCCTTCATTGTTCTTTACAGTGACATCAGCCCCATTGGAAAGTAAAAGTTTTAAAATGTCATAATCACAGCTTTTCGATATTGCAAGATGGAGAGCGGTGTTTCCTTCTGTATTTTGGATGTTGATATCTGCGCATGACTTAACAGCCACTTGTATTCCAACAAAATCGTTATTTTCTACCGCTATTTCCAATTCATTTTGTTCCATACTTATTGTTAATCCTGTTTGCAAACGTCGGTCGAAATTTATCGGTTAAAAGTGATCATCTATAAAGTTATACATGTTGTGTCAGCATGTCAATAAATGCTCGTATAAATACGGCTGAAAAAGTAAAAGCAGCTTGTATATCAATCTAACAAAATATAAACGAGGGAAATATTTTTGAAAAGTAGTGAATATTTATATCCTGCCTCTATGAGACGCCGTGAAATAATCGGTAGTGTACATGTCTTATGTTCATAGATTAAGAACTACTACTAGCATATATACTAGCTAGCATATATAATGTACATGTGCTATAGTAACCGCAATAGCATTGCATTACTCATGTATTTTTTAATCCCCTTACAAATTGCTAATTAGAATTGAACGACTATTTTGTTCTAAATTGATTATAAGGCCACGACGTGTATATATACAGTTTCCGAAAATGAGCCATAACAGTGCCTCTTAATCTGCGTTACAAGGAGAAAATCGAAACAACCTTTGTATGACAATTAAATTTATATACTTGAAGCACACGATATGTGACCATGTATAGAATAAAAGCTCCGTTAACAAAATTTAAATAGGTTTAGGTATAATACAGACATCACCTACCTCCCCCGGAACATATCATACTGCCCTTTTGTAGAATCTATATTTTATGTACAGCGTATGACAACACAATTTAAACCGTTTAAGCCAATTGCATGCCAACACACGTACTGTTGTATTTTATTGGTTCATAACAGTCTAGCGTGTCTACATGTATATCAAATATACATAATATATACACGTTTGCTACGCTCTGCTGACACTAATGCTGATTTACTCTGGCTTAAGATTAGTGCAAGTAACTTCCCCTTACACTTAAATGATTCTGAAATAGAAAAACAACAACAATAGAAAAAACAACAACAACAATAGAACATGCATATTGGGACAAACGTATAATAACGACTTAAAACGTGTATAATATGTGTAATTTCTCTAATAAGATAACTAAATAAATTATCAAAGTTATACTTTAGATAGACACTCGACAATTTGTTTAAACATATAAAATAGTATGCATATGTTTATTGCATCATTCATTCGTTTGTTCGTACTATTAACATCAATATGTTTTGTATTTTTCTTTTGAATATTTAAGATAGTCAACATAGCGAATATTTAAAGGTTCGTGGCATGATCTTTAATATAATTTGTTTAAGGCCCTGTCTTTCAATTTCCATGGAGTATTAGCCAGATATGAATTTTGAACAAGCGGTCAATGAAAACCTAAATGTACGGCAACCTGAGAAATTATAGAAAGGAGGTAGCCCTTTAAAGGGTTGTTGGTGCCAAGCAAAGGGTCAACCTTAAACTTGTTTGAAATAATAATAAAATGGCAACGGAGACGAACTCTATACGTTACATATTTTGTCATTCCTGAATGACCTACTATTAGTCTGTTTGACTAATGAATCGGTAAAATGTCTATCGTGCATGATCTTTAAATTACTTTATTGACAAAACAAGATTTTGCATTTTTCGAAACCATTTTAGTTCTTTCTAAAATTAATTTGAATACTTACTGCAGAAGTGTTGTCACCTTAAGTTTACTGACGAAAGCACGCCGTCGTGTTATCATGAGTTCGGTACGAGAATCAAAAGCAGGGAAGAAAAATAACTTGTAAACATGTGAAAAAGAATAAAGAAATAAAAATATGTAAATTATTATCGGTAATGAAAGAAATAAACGTATTGTAAACTCATTCATCTGATAACTTTACCATCAAGATGGCACAAATCGATCAACACTATAATAAATCTTTTGCAAGGGATTGTGGCCCTGGACGGGAAAATTTTCTATTTGATTTTCCTTCTTAGATTTCCACTTTTGAAGTTTGATAATACATGTATAGCTTTAGACATTTTTCAATCTTTTTAGTTTAAATCAATATATCGGTCATTACATACATTACAAGTATGTTAAATGTTCTTCATAATTGGTGTATTACAAACCATATGAATGTTAACCCACTAAAATCTAATATTCTTCACTTTAGAAATCCATCTTTAACTTGTTCAGATTATGTATTTAAAATAGGAGATACAACTTTAAACTATGTTACACAGTACAAATATCTCGGTCTTGTTTTGACCGAACACCTTGATTATTCTATTACAGCTAAAACTGTTGCTCAGGCTGCTCATAGAGCATTAGGAATGTTAATTGCTAAAAACTAGAGGTATTCCTTATGAAGCTTATACAAAAATGTACGAAGCTACTGTTGTTCCAGTTATCACATATGCATCGTCTGTTTGGGGCTGTGATACTTTCTCTTGTATAAATGCTGTGCAGAATAGAACTGCACGCTACTTTTTGAATGTTGGAAGATATACTCCAAATGCAGCAGTCTGTGGAGATATCGGTTGGAAACCTATAATATATTTTTGTTGGAAAACTGTTTTAGCAAATTGGAGTAGATTAAGTAATATGAATATAGGGAGGTTAAATAAACAAATATTTTTATGGGCAAGTGATAAGTCAGGTAACAGATGTAAGAATTGGAATTTTAAAGTCTGTACGTTGTTTAAGAAGTATAATATGGAACGATTTTGCAATGTTGAAAATCTGATACAAAAACAAGAGTTGTTTAATATTATATTGCCTAAAGTACTGGAAGATTACATTAATAATTGGAACTGTTCTGTTAATCAGGAATCAGGCCGAAATGGCTCTGGTAGAAACAAATTAAGATTATACATGTATAAAACATTCAAGAATAACTTTGAAACTGAAAATTATTGTAAGTTAATTTTGAACAGATCACACAGGGGTGCCTTAGCTAAATTTCGCAGTGGCACAGCTCCAATTGGTATAGAGTTAGGACGCTACAATGGATTGCCAGTGGAACAACGATTGTGCTCCCACTGTCAAACTATTGTAGAGGATGAAAAGCATGTATTATTATATTGCCCGCTATATGATTCCATTCGTAATGACTTGATTCGAGAAGCACAAATGCTAAACGATGGTTTTGATGCCCTCTCAGACATTGATAAAGTAGGATACATTCTCTCAAATGCAGACTGCCAAAACCTGTTTTAACATATTGAATAGAAGAAAACTAATTTTATACAACTGACATTATTTTAAATAACTTTTATGTGTTCTTAGATATACATGTACTATCTAAAAAATACCTTTGCTAATAATCTTCTAAACCGGATTTTGATTAAATTTAACCACAACATAATTTCTATATAGAATTTTTGGAGGTACTTTGCTACCTCAATATTTTAAATTACAACAGTAGATTAATTTTATCATATGTTCTTCACAACACTGGTTTAAATTAGCAAGGGTATTTTAGATTTTTAGAATTTTACATGTAAATAGTAAGTCAACCTTTAGTCTCTTGTAAATCTTATAGATTGGCAATGTGCATTTATATTGTATTTTATATGTATTTTAACTGTGTACATTGATGAGACTGTAATAAACTAATAAATAAAAATACATATGGCATAATCTAAACAATTTATCGTTTTTTTTTGCCTTTAATTACGGCAAGTATAAACACAAATACAGTTTCAAACTTTTCATCTAATACGTTCCAGGACCCCCTCACCTTCATCTTCTTTTAGACTTCAAATTCTTTTAGAATATTATTCTTTTGAGATCAGTTGAGATCACTTGTAATATTCTAAAAGAATTTGAACATGGCTAGAGTTATCGTTCTTCAATTAATCAAACGGACCCAGCAAGTATATAATTATGATGTTTTTAATTTGATTTGACATAAAACGCATTGAATAAATTATAATTACGAGTACATATGTAATAGAAAACATAAGCCATTTTCCAACGTATACACGTAATGTATACACCCAAAAGAACATGAAACGTTTGATAGAATTTTAGTTTTGACAGCAATGGATTTCAATCATCACACATAATGTATCATATGAATGAAATATACAAGCAGTTCACAAAAAACATAAACGACAAATAATTTCAAATATTTTTCTATCATAATGCATGTATTCTGCACAATAATTTGTCTTCATCCGCAAGACTTAAATGAAAAGCAATGATACCAGTTTTGCAATAATTGTCTTCAATACTATTCCTTGCAATGGCATATATGCATTTAAAATAATGAATTCCTGTCTGGGACCAAACATATTTTTTGTCCCAGATTCATGTATTAAAGAAGACAGACAAATGTTATATGTATAAATAAGAATGCAATCAACACACATGGATTGTAACATTCAGATATGAACATGTTATCAAGATACATATCCTTTTGATTACCCTTCATTGTACTCATCACTCCTTTGAGCTGCATGCCTCTTTATCACAGAAATTTATTGAAATTTATTCTTACTGAATATGTTTAATTTCAATTGTTACAGGCCATGTTCGCATTTTCTTAAAAACCTATACTTTTCAAACAACTAGAAACTTAACTTACATCAAAATTAATTCAAATACAGGCAGATGTGGTTTTACATTAAGTGTATCTTTTCTGATGAGTTTGACACGAGAAATAAAGAATTTAACAATAAAAAAAAAGAAGAGAATTTAATGTTGTGTTTTTTGCCTTAAATACAAGCGACACAAATATATTTTATTACTTTTACACATCCCAGGATTCCGCGCGTCTTCGATTCCGACTTTATCTTTTTTTAGAAGGGTACAGTATCAGTTGTTATCCATTCTTCAATTAAACAAATGGAACACAGCAAGCAAACGTGAATGTTTTATTTGTTTTAACAAAAAAAGCACAATTTCTACACAATAGTTTGTCATTTTGGACAAGACTTTAATCAAAAGCAATGATACAATTTCTGCATTAACAACATCCATTACTATTCCTTACATTGGCATACATACATTTGAAATTTTTACATTCTTGTATAGAAGGACAAATCTAATATGTATGAATGAGAATGCAATCAACATACATTGATTAATAACATTCAGATATAAACATGTCACCAAGATACATATACTTTTGGCGGATATTCACCTCCATACAAGACAGGATCAAAAGTGATATACATGTGAATGCACTCGATAGCTTTCAAAGGGGCATTTGATTGACAGATCCTAAACTAGATCACGTGGTTAAGGGAACTTTCGTTTCAATATTATATCTGATTGGTTAATTTTATCAACGCCCAATATACAGTACATGAGCTTTCGTATTTCTGATTGACATTTCATGTCTATTTCAAGTGCGACTCAACTGCGATTTATGTGGAATTAAATTTCATAATTACGTAATAATTCTGAAAAAAAAAAGATAAATAAGTGTTGTCCAAAAAATATTTAGATTCAAGTGACACAAATTCTTGAATGGAATTAGAATGCCGTTATTATATGATAAGTAGACAAGGAAACATTCAGATTTGTTTATTTGAAACGCATTTTGTGCGCTGTTTTCCATTCAATACTTGGATTATTGTGTTTGGAGCTGACCTTACTTGGTGAGTATAGATCTTTGTTTTCATATGAAAATGGACTGAATCTTACTGCACATTATGTGTCAGAATTTTTTCTTCTTCTTTCAGTAGAAAGAACAAACGTGTGTTTTAAGCGTTTAATAATTACATACCCGTGCTGCTTTTGCGACTTCGTAAAAAACCATAGGTGTTCGGCGCGTTGATTGGTCACTACCCCGCACCCCCCCCCCCTCACCCCCACAACCACT